AAGGCAAAATACTAATCCCATAGTGGGATGTTTGTATTTTGGAACGCAGTACAGCTCCCAAACAACTTACACAATTAAAAAAGAGTGTGCCTGGTCTTGCATGACAGTTCATTCTGCAAGATGTGCATTTAAATTCAGCTTTGTAAGACATTTTCTTTCAAATAAAAATTGGTTTCGTTCAGCATCTGACGTGTCATGATGCTATTTTTTTCATTAACAAACATATGTCTCCATCTCTTTCTCCTCAATGCAGTGATTTCTGCTGATTTTGTTTTTACTAATTCCCAATTTGGTTGATCCTTTTTCCTATTCTATACCACACTAAAAAAGCCCTACCCTCTTTTTCTTGATTTTTGTTTCAGAAGACATATGGTAGAGCTGGTATTACATTTCCACTTCTTCTAAAGCTGAAGTAAACTGAACTGTTCAATTTCTTTATCTTTCTTCTTTCTGGAAATTCCTGCAGGGGTGTATAAAAAGATCAGAGGAGCAGCATGAACGCTGCTTTCTAATCTAAGGTAGTTCCCTATAGGGGAGGTTTATTGGAGTAAAACTTGGAGCTTCTAACTTGTCATGCTACTTGCAGTGGCTTTAGTTTTGAATTGTCATGTTTCCTGGAAAAATTCAGACTTCAAGTTTGGAAGTTTTATTTTGTGGTCTGAGAAGCTATCCATGTGATTCAGGAGCCTAAAAATATTTAGAACAATTTTTAAATTTCCTAAATTATCTTGTTTTAAAATATTACTTTATTTAATGTTACAAATTTTTTGTATTATAAAACTACTAGTAATAATGAATAACCAAGAAATTTTGAGATGGATAAATTAATGTGTCTAGAGGCAGTTAGGGCTGAACTAGAAAACGCTATAGGCAGTTTAGCTGCTTCTGACCCACAGATGTTTGTATGTCTAGAATTCATCTATCAGTTCAATCTAAATTCATCAGGTTTTCCCCTTTTCACTTGAAAGTTTCCTGTGTGCCTGCTTTTTGGTACTACATGTGCCCAGAAGTACTTTCTTCTGAAAAATGTGGTTTTAGTTCCTTGCTTATGCCACATTAAATTTGTAGAGGTTCCTAGACCTTCCAGAGATCTTCATCTAGTAGTATGCATAGATCTTGAATGTGAATTAGCTCATGGGAAAAATGTTTGAAATAGCTGCTTTTTTTTAAAAAGACATGAGGAAACTGGAAGGGTGCTCACCTCTTTGACTCTACTCGACTTGTTAGAGTCATTGCTGAGAAATGGGAGATACGGGTTTGTTCTCTTCCCCAGCCTAAAGGATTCAAACCTCAATCCCTTGTGTCTTAAGACAGTGTTTGAACTTGTTACCTGGGCGTTTAGTGGGTATGGGCTACACACCTGAAGATTCCTATGGGACTGCAAGAATTAATTACCCTTGCCCTCTGTGCTTCATAAACATCCAGTTTTGGCAAGCGGCCTACCACTGAGGATGCTGTCCTGCATGATGAAAAATACTGATTTGAAACCCCTCTGCAAAGAGGGAACTGAATCTCCATCGCCCAGTTTCTGGCTGTCTTAGTTGTTACGTAGTATTATGGAAGAGCAGGGCAGCAGATTACCTATCCACAACTTCTAAAAGGTGGTTCCTCCTCATTTCTCCTAGCTCAGGAGAGGACTGTAGTTTCTGAATCCCAACGGAATAGCAGAACTTTACGTATCCCAGTCAGCCCCTAAATCCCTAGGCAGATAGGGTTTGGAGGCACATTCCTTTGATTTTAGTACTGTGTACTGGATACTGCTGAGAGACTTTCATTTTGGCCTGTGAGATTTTTCAGATTGACTTACTGTCGTCTGTCTAGCTCTCCACTTTCCAAGGCACCTAACTCTGGATTTTGCATGCTGCTCTGGAGCACTGGAACCTACAGCACAGGAGCGGCAGAGCCTGTACAGGTCTTTGAGGTGTAGAACGTGATTTTTAATTAAGAGCTAGGGAGAGCAGAAAGCAAACATAGTAGTGGGTGGTAGATTTCCAGAAAAACTGTATGCGTAAAAAGAAACGGGTAACTCATCCTAAGAACAAACCAATAATGCTGCTCAGAAAAAGACGTAATGGCCTGTCAGTGCAAATAAAATAAAATAATACTACGAATAGATAAACTCTTTGTTCAGACCAAATTACTATGTTTAATATGGGGAGAAGAAGGTGCTGGTTTCATAATGACGATACCACTTTTGTTCCCTTAAGTACAGAAGGATGAAGTTCAGATGTTTATGGTGGGAGGTTAGTTTTAATGTGTCCTCCGAAGGCTGATATCATAGACTTAGTGGAATTCCTACAGAATAACATCGGTGGGAATGCAAGAAGAATGGAGCTATACGTTGGTGGAGCCACTGGTGAAACTTTGGTTCCTGCAAAAATAAACTTCCCTTTGAAGTGAGCCTGACCGAGTAGGTGGGAAAGCTGTCAATAACTGTTCCTATTTGCTTTCTTGGGGAGGAAGGGGGAGTGGAGGAGGGTGTTTCCCCTAAATGCTTACCTCTGACTTTAATTATTACTAGTCTTGGGGAGAAGATGACTGTTGAATGTTTGACAGGTTTTCGTGAATTGTTATGCTTGCTTTTCTCAAGAAAAATAGTTAAACAATTTACATTTCTTGGGTATTACTTGGGAAGCATAAGAAACAAAGGGGCTCCCCAGCCTGATTTTTCTTCTGAACTTCAGATCACCATCTGAGTCTGGTTTGGAGATCAGATCATCTCGGGAATATATGGCTTTCATCATGCAAATGATTTTTTTCCTCACCCTGGTCAGTGAAAAATTTAGTCATTGGAACAGAGCCCCAGGGACAGTTCCAGCTCTCCACTAACAGAGACGTGGAACTGCTGTCTCCTCGCAACTTCTCTTTAATTATTGTCACAGTCTTTTTAATAGTGTATTGCTCCTTCCTTGGACCGCTGCTGTTGCGTACTTCTGAAATTGCATTATTTTCAAAAAGGTGCTTTTAGCTCCTAACCAATTCGAGAAATGTATATTTCTACTTTCGTGTTTATCTAAATTAGGATGTGGAAATCAGTGAATATATGTAGTTGTTAAGGAAGAGCCGGTGTCACAGGCTACACTGGAGGCTGCGGTAGATGTTTCACGCTCTGCAGTAAGGTCAGCGTTGGTGTGGCACTGTGAAAGCCCTGACTGGGGTCACTGGGAGTTCCCCAGCAAGTACAGAATGATGGGGTTTGTGATGGTACATCTTCCCTTTGAGAGCTCAGCTCCGCTGCAGAACCAGGGCCGCCTTGCTCTTCTTGAAGTGGGGTGTGCTCAAAACGGTGGCAGTATGTACATACATTTAGATACACATATGAATGTATAGACACAATTGATAAAAAGATAAACCAGGTATTTTTCAAATAGGATCTGATACCATGCATGTCAAATACCAACTGGGAGCTCTATATTTCAGGGATGACCTAGTGTTTTTCATTAAATTTGACCACTATATCAAAAAAGGAAATGACTCCACTTTCTCCTCGAACTGGTGAAAAAGAAAATATTTTCACTACAAAGAAAGGAACTTTTATTCCTGGTGTTTTGGTTTTTTTTTTAATTCAGAAAAATGTTATCTGATGTTCAGTTCTGAGTCTGGGAAGGCTCCGAGTCTTCATTTGCTTGCTCGTGTTTCAACAAGCAGCCTTTCTCAGCCTCCCTGCAGAACTGCCTAGATCTCACTCTCCAGGCTGTCTTTGCCCATATCTTCATTCACCCAGTTCATTGGGAAAAGTAAGATTCACAGTCTGAACATCCTATTACCAACACAAGCTCAGGCTGCTAGATTTTATACAGTGTCAAAAAGAAAAAGAGAAAGAAAAAGACGGGGACCCCAGTTCTAACCCACCGCAGTTCCCTGGCTGAGTTCAGCGCGTGGCTGACAGGGCCAGCAGAGGGAAGGGAGCTGGTGGGGCAGAAATGGAGGGCTTGGAAGAGGTGGTAGAACCCCTTGTTTTGATACCCGATTTCCATTTTATGCTGGTGTGAAGTGATCATGGAATTACAGGCTCCAACTCTTATTTTAGCATGGTATGAATCACCTCCTGGAGACATTCACCTCCTTCATGGCCCTCGTGTTTATTTTTTGCTAATCCCAACAATACAGGAGCTGTCTGAAATGTCTGTCAGCATCTCCCTGATATGGTCCTTACAAAACTGGCAGCAGCTAGGTGGATGGTGAGCTGGGACCGCCCTGTATTGCATGAGCTTTTTGATCATTTACATTGTCTCCCTCTGTCCTTTGTGTTTAGTGTTTTCTGCCTCTAGACTATCTGTACTTATTGAGGGGTGTGTAATCTGGGGCAGGCAAGATTCATGTGCTCCTACGGTGCATAGGACAACATACGGCCAGGAGCAGGGCAGGATTTCCATGGGCTGTTTATTACACAAATTATAATAAGCTAGTGTTGTTTTAATACGATAGCTTGACAAGTTTTTTTCCTTATGAGGTAGACTATATGTACAAATTATCAGTTCTTCAGGGATCTCTAGTGTTGACAGATGTTCTGTTTCTACAGTATTGTACATGTACTTGTGCAAGCATCATCTTCTGATTTTTAACTAAAGCTGCATGTGCTACCTTTTCATGTAGCTGGGATACATGTTTCATTTCATGTATTTCAATTCTGTTGTGTTTTTCTTGTTGTGTGACACTGGCTTTTCCTTTGTCTTTCATCATTCAACCTTGCAAAATTGCCATGAAAATTCAGCAACCCAGGCACAAAATGTACTTACCTGTTTTAACATAACTGGTAACAATCAAAGAGTTGATAACACTTCACTTGTCTACCACAGATTTTCTTCTGAAGGAGTTTTGTGTAGCGTTTTGTGGGGTCATAAACACAGTATTTTATTGGTGCCTTTCAAACAAACTCTATTTCAAATGATAGATTTGCCAAGTCAAACCTGAGTTGAGCAGTGAACAAGAAACTTAGAAATATGAACAAAGAACTCATGACTTTGCCACCATAACCCTTTCGTGCACTTTCTTCCTTTTAGTTGCTGATATGTGTTCAAGATGAGTGGGATGGGAGAAAATACCTCTGACCCATCCAGGGCAGAGTCAAGAAAGCGTAAGGATCCCGATCAGCTTGGACCCAGGTTAGACCATTTATGTCTGAAGATGTTGAAAGAGAAAAACTTAGAAAAAATGTTAGATGTGTGCATATTTTTTATAATCGTTAGAAAATTACAAACTTGCCATTCTTGTGAAGAAAAGTCAGTACCAAACTACTCTGATTCAGTAATTCCGTGTTGTTGTGGGTTTTGGGGTGGGGAGTGGGGAGGTACTGTCTTTTCTTTTTATTTTCTTGTTTGTTTTAAGTCCAATCTAGCGCCAAAATGTACAATGTGGGTGACAATATAGGAGTTACATAAAAATATTTTTTGGCTAATCACTGCAGAGGATCTTCAGTCACTCATCTGGCAATCTAAGGTTTTTTACTACCTCTCTTGTACACCTTAATCGGGTACTTCAAAAATATTTTGCAGTGTTATAGCATTTGCCGTACCAACACAAATAATTTTGAAAGCGTAACCACTCATTCAGCATTTTTTCTTATGCCTGTCTTTCATAATTTCACAAGGAGGCAGAGAGCATGGATTGTTTGGTTTAACTTTCTAAGCTGTTTTATTTTTTATACACTGTCACTATATGATGCCCCTTGGATTCTCGACACGATGAGGAAGGATACTTGTAAATGTTGAGATCCCACACGCCACCAGTTAATCCTCTGTTTTGAACTTGATATCTCAAACCTCTTCTGAAACAAAAACATGACTACAAGGAAAAAATAAGTAACATCTTTTTAAATGCTCCTTTGCTTGTTCCAGAGGAAACCTTTCTGCTTGAGAAACGTGTAAATTATTTTTTGTAGTGAATGAAGGCAGTTCCCTCTGTTTCTGTTAAACTACTCTCAAACCATCTGAAATCGTCTTTGAGCTGGCCAGAAGGCAAACAAACTGACATTAAATACAACATTTTTATAAACTCCTCTTTCAGCCCTAAAAGAAGCACTGAGAAACGCAATCGTGAGCAAGAGAATAAATACATAGAAGAACTTGCAGAGCTGATTTTTGCAAATTTTAATGATATTGACAACTTTAACTTTAAACCTGACAAATGTGCAATCTTGAAAGAAACTGTGAAGCAAATTCGTCAGATAAAAGAACAAGGTAAGATGACTAATTAATTGACTTTGAATATTTTCTGTGTTGATTATTACTTTATTTTTGGCAAACCTGATAGTCTCTTCACCTTTTCTTAAGCAATTTCCCAGGTTTTTTAAATCAGTAATGAAAAATGCTGTAATGTCCTGTAAGCGGAGTGTATTAAGTATCATGTTCAGTATTTTAAAAATAAGCTTCACAGAAAATTCAGAAATTGCCTAGATTGGGGGAAGGTCAGTCAGTCCGGTGTGTGCATGTAATGGAATCAAAATGAGTTGTGCTTTTACAAAAGTTAAACTAGCAGATGACTTGCGGGGGGGAGAGGGGGAAGACTACTTACATACTCTTACATGGATGATAGATCCATGTGAAATAGGAATAATCCAGGAGAGTGGAGTACGCCAATATTCTGCCCGCCTTTTGCTTTCTTTTGTTGGTATGAATAGATATTGTGGACTAAATTATCTGCGACCCTTAAATGATGACATCATATCCTTAACTACAATAGATTTGAAACTATTCTAATCTCTAGATAGGGTCCTGTTATAAATGTAAACCAGAGAACGTGACAGTTTTCTTCCTGTTCTTTGTCTAGAAGATTAGATTCGTATTTCTTTTCTTTTGATATATTTCCTATTTAAAGAAAGAATACAAATATTTTAGAAACTTTAAATTTTTGGAAGTTGGTTTTGTGGCGCAGGTCTTTCTGGGCAAGCGTGAATAACACTGCAGGTGTTTGGGGCAGATTCAAATTCTTAAAGTTGGTGCATATAGTTGTTCTTTTAATGCAGAAGATTGCAATCTTTTTGTAAGCTGTGTTTAGAGCAATTCCTTTGGTTTTCAAACACTTTAATTAACATCTTTAATTTTTTCAATATTCTGTGATTTCTGTGGGAAAATAATATTTATTTTTCCATATAGTATGTGTGAAGTTATAAAACTGGAGATTATGTATTGCATGATTTAGATACAGATTTATTTCTAAAACAAGTAGATAAATAGATCTGCAGTGTCAGACATCAGCCTATTCAAAGCAAAATGGAAAGTAAGAAGTGTCAGATTGTGTCAACTGCCTCCAAAGTGACTCTAATTGATTAAGCTTTGGGAATGTTGCTATTTCTGAGCTTGTTCTCTTCTTGTTGCTATTAAGTTGCCAGAATTTTTTAAATGAATATTCTTGTGAAGCTCTGGTGCCCTATATTAGAAGTATAACTTTAAACTGGTACAGTGTCCATCATCGTTTTGCACCTTGCTGGCTTTTGAGATTTATTTCCCTTATTTTCTTTTCTTCATCCTTTTCTCACTTTTAGTTTTGGATTTTTGTTATGCTGTCAGCAGGAGACACATTGTCGTTACCTGAGAAGGGATAAGGAGGGACAACAAAACTGTGTTTTCCTAGGAAGTAGGTGCAGAGAAAAATCTGTTAGTCCACTTGGTAATTGTCTCAGCAGCTCTATAAAATCTAGTCTGAACATCTGGCTCTAACTAATGGCAACTTTGGCAAATCCAGGGTTTTGTTGTTCAGGACCAATATCGTAAAAACAGTTTGCATATTGTTACAAAATGTGTATTGTTGTAAAATCTGTAAGACATCAGACCAGGTTACATGTAAGTTATTTAAGTAATCATGGGCCAGAATTGTACCAAAGCTGAATGTGCACTTAGTTTTCTAAGATCATAAAGTTTTATTGCAAAAACAACTGAAAATACAACTCTAAAGACGGACTGAAATGCTGTGAATACTGTTTATTTCAACAAGTAGAAGTAGTTTGCAACCCTTGAGCAATGATGATACTGAATTACTCTTTATGATGTTGATTTGTTGCAGAGTTCTTCAGTTGAGAACAATTAGACTGTCTGATAACTCTTTGGGTCTTTACATAAAACTCACAGCTGGCACAGACTAGACTTTAAGCCTCTCTAAGGGACATTGCAAAACACTAAGGTCTTCAAGGTGGTCATTAATAGCATCTCAGGATCTAGAAACAAAGATTAGAATACTTGAAATTTTTTCTTTAAAGTAATTAAAAGTTTTGTACTAATTTCAACATAGAAGTTACATCTGTTTGTTGTAATAGAAAATTTAAAAGGCTTTTTCTTTGAAGAAAAAATTCAAATGACAGCATACTCTGAAATGCAACATTGTTTTGGAACAGGCATTTTATTAACAAATAGGTCTCTCATATAGTAAATATTCAAACTGCACAAACACTATGTTACACCTGTACTTCTGTTGAGTGCCACAGAAAACCTGACCTAAGCAAGGCAAACAGAGTGAAGAGCTAATCAGACTGTTACTGTTGCTGTCTCATGTTTTTCAGGTAGTTTATCACCTCACATTGGGAATCCTGTGCTTACATATATTAATCATTTAAATGCATTAACTGCTAGGTTGTTCCAAATCTTTCTGATTGCTCTTCCACTGCCAAGAAATGTTAGAAGACCTTTACAATGGTGAAACACTTGCATTGTCTTAACAATACCTATTTCTACAACAAAGTAATGAAAATAATACTATACTTGCATGAAGTGCCACAAGACTCAGGTTAAAAATCATATTTTCGACAGTTAAGATGTTTTGTTGATTTTTAGTTTTACACTAAATACCTGTAGCAGAAAACTAAATGAACAACCTGAAATTCCTGAGTAATTCTAAACTAACATGGACAAATTAAGATGGCTTAGTTTTTGCACAGTGGGTCTGCTCTGCATTTCTTCAAATACAGATTAGATTAAATTAGTGAAAACTTACTTATTTTACAGTTTTATTATTTAGAAGTTTTAGTAAAGAGTTTGGATTTTTGAAATAAATGCTAAAATTATTCACAAATATTCTTCTTCATCTATAAATAGAATTGCACATTAAGGTCTAATTATTTACAAAAGCATGGTCAGTTATAAATACTTTGTAAAGCCACTGAGAGCAACAAGTTTTATAGCTGCTACTGAGCTTTGACAAGGAGACTTTATTCTAGGTTCTAGGAATGAAAACGAGGAAGGAGGAAATACAGATTGACACTCATTTCCCATGTCAAGCTTGCTGGGCCGGTAGCTGAAAAAAGTAATAGATTTTTTGCTGTAGTAATAGTATATAATTTAGTATAATGTTATCCTGATCTATTTTATATGCAAATATATATTTGCAATACTCTATCTGTTATCTTTATATCATTTCTCACAGTATATACTTCAAAGATTATTTAGTTGTGGTATGTTACAGATTCAGTGTATTACAATTTGAAAGCAAGTTATAAATATATGCATGTAACTGAATTAATTAGAAGAATTAAAGATATGTGGAAGATATAACCATTGTGTTTAGTTTTAATCTGGGTTTTGAAATGTTTTTAGTACTTGGGAAGAAAATGAAGACAAGTTTCTTTACAAAAGTGTAGTTTTCTACTGAGGACTTTTACTATATTATCTTACAGTGATAGGATAGAGATTTGTGGATGTCCAGAGGAGATGAAAAATTGTGATTTTAGTATGAAGATGAAACAGAAGTTGTATTCATGTAAATCTTAAGTGGATATTTCTACTGGGGACTTGAGACTTGTGTTACAAGCACTTGGGAAAAAATTAATTCACTTTTTTTATTCATAGCATAGAAGTGATATGAAGTGGTGATTTTATGGTTGTGTTACATGATCAGGGACGTGTAAGCTCTCCTGTTACTTGCAGCATATGTTAAGTTACTTTGAAGGAATAATAGTCATATATGTTGCAGATGTGTTCATAATGTACACAGATGTGTACAAGCACAGTAAGTTCCGATTTGCACGTTTAATTAAAAAAGCTTGGTTTAGGGAAGTGCAAAGACCACTGGGGATAAATGTTCCTTTATATGCCAGGCAGCCAAGAAGCTATAAAGCTATTTGATTGTACTTAAGAAATATGTTTACTGAAATAGTGTCTTGTTGATTTTAGGATCCTACCTTATTTTTAAGAAACAGCTTCGGTACTTAAGACAGGTTAATTTCAGTTGTATAAGTACTGCTGAAAATGTTTTCTCATATCTGAAGACAACAAAATTCTGACAGCAAATAAAAGGAATCTGGATTCTCTTCTTCCTTAGTTTACAATCAGTTGAACTGTTTAGATCAGTGTCATTTGATTTTGTGCCTACAGTAGTCCTTTTCCTTGAATCTTGTCATCTGCCTGACTCCTCATTATGTCAACATTTTTCATTATTGTTTTTGATTGCTCTGTCCCCCCTTTAACTAATTTCTTTTTCCCTTCTAGGTACTAAGCAGGATATAAAAATTAATATAACCTTTGCCCTTAGTTTAAAGCTCTTTTTATCCATCATGCTAACCTCAGTCTCGGCAGTTAAATAGCTCCCATTTTAAAGGAGAGACTGTTTGTTACATATCACTGCTTGAACATCTCCTGGTTCAGGCTTTGAAACCTCCTCTTTTTCATTATCTAGTTGTGCTTTTACCCTCTTCTCTGGATATCAGCAATGCAGTAGGTACAGAGAATACTGAAGATCACCTTAAGCTTCTTCAGGAGTTTCTCCAGCTAAGCAGTCTCCTCTGACCCCTTCAGTAGGAGTGCTGAAGATGTGTCCTGACATCAAGTACAAGACGTGGTTGGGTTTTTTTTCTCCTCAACTCCCCTGAGTACCTTTTATTAAACTCCAAGTCTCCATCTCTTATTTTTCTCCTTCTACTCTCCATGCCTTTCTGTTTTCTGTAGCTTTTTTTTTTGGTAGGATGGCATCCATCTGTCTTATTTAGAGTCACATACAGTGGGATATAACCTACTGTGCCAAAGTATCCCCAAATGCAATTTTATGTCTCAGTTCCATTTTCCTGCAGAGGCCAGCTTTCATGTGTCACCAGTTTCTGAAGCGGTTTTGTGTTCTGTAAATCAGCTTTTCAGTAGTACAGGGAAGGGATATCAGGGTGGTGATTATCAGTTTGGCTGTTAATGTACACTTTGGAGTTGTCAGATCTTGTTTTCAGAATAGCCTTACAAGACAGACCTTGAACAGGATGAATCAC